TTGAAAAAACTGAATTGTAAATTGAAAAAAAAAATCCCTAGTTATTGAATTCAGATGAAGCAGGATTACTTATTGAAACAATTTATGTAATCTCAATGAAGCCTGAACTTTTCAGCAAATGAAACATGTTGTCCAAGAACTTTGCAATGACATAAACATGTTAATGTATGCTAAACATATTGAAGCAATATGTGAAGCTATCTGCCATATTTACATCACTATGTCACTCTAAAATACTGTCTCGCAATCACGAGATGAGCCCTCATTGAGATCGCTATCAGGGAAGACGGGGGCTCATTTTCTGATTGCAAATTAGTAATGATTTTATTCCCATTTCTAGAAAAAGAAGCAAAATATCATTTTGGTAATGACTTAATGGATCTCACGAAATTAGTAAGGTCAGTTTATTTTATAAAATTCGAATGGAATGAAATAGGAATGAAAGGAGACAGGAATGAAATGAGATAGGAATGAAATGAGATAGGAATGAACGAAGATAGGAATGGAAAGAAATAGGGAATGGAATGCGATAGGAATGGAATGAGATGGGAATAGATGGAAGAAACTATATTGTTGGAAATGTTAGATAGCGAGGAATGAAATATTATTTAAATTTAATACAACTATAAGACGGTTTTAAATTAAAGCGTCTTAAACTTAGTTACAAGATACCATGTTTTACTTTGGCCCAAAATTATAGTTCAGGATACTGATATTATGGTTCAGCGTAAAACTAAATTTTCTAAAAGGGCAAGAAAGCTTAAAATTGGGTAAATGTTTTTTTTTTTAAAAATAAGATAGGACTTGTTTTATTCTTTAATATATACATTCTGTATACTTTTTTTATTGTTATATATACTAAATAACATACTTTGCCATTCATCATGATGTAAAATATTTATATTATGACCATAATAGTTGAAATAGAGAGCAAGCCACTCTTTCATCTTCAATCCAAGAAAATGGGAGACATAATTACTTTGCATTCTATAGTTCGATGAAATAGAGGCCTGTAGTATTGAATAATTTAAATATCAATTCTTCATTTTTTAACTTCCTGGATAATGGTTTCAGTTATTTTTAATTTATAATAATATGACAGTGTGATAATATTTTTTTTGGTGTTTTATGATATAGTTCCAGTAAAACAATTATTATCTCCATCTCCATTGAACAATTTTTGACAATAAAAATAGCTCACAGCATTAACAAATAATTTGCTAAACATAAAAAAAATTCCTACAGGTAATTGACGAACATTATTTACTTAAACATCTCCAATTTCAATCGAATTATTTTTTCTTTCAAGTAACGCATTTGAATTTACCATTGAAATTATAATAAAAATAATAACTGCTTTATAACAGTAAATATTAGGATAACTATTATACACAATAAAGAATAAACAATTAAAACTTACATATTTTTATAGTAGTTTCTCAAAAAAAAAATAATACGATTCACGACTTCAAAACACGTATCAAGGAATTAGTTGGCGTATGTGCGTTTTTCTTCTTTTAATTTTTTAATCCCCTTTAAAAGTTAGTATACATGCACAATATTAACTATTTGATTTAACAAAAAACAAGAGGGAAGAGATGTTTTTATTTTACCACAGCATCGAGGAAACATACAATTTTTAAAATTTATTTCATTATTCTTAAACGGAGGAAGAATTCTGAAAAAATTACCGCATTGTATAGTAATGACATTTCTGGTAAAAAAAATCACAATCCTGATATTAAAAACCAGTATATACGGTATTTAAACCATTCATCTGGTTATTTTTCCATTCATATGGCAACGGTTTAACGGAAATTCTGGTTTGCAAAAATTTATTTTTTACTACGGCACATTTCGTAAAAAANTGAGATAGGAATGAAATGAGATAGGAATGAAATGAGATAGGAATGAAATGAGATAGGAATGAAATGAGATAGGAATGAAATGAGATAGGAATGAACGAAGATAGGAATGGAAAGAAATAGGGAATGGAATGTGATAGGAATGGAATGAGATAGGAATAGATGGAAGAAACTATATTGTTGGAAATGTTAGATAGAGAGGAATGAAATATTATTTAAATTTAATACAACTATAAGACGGTGTTAAATTAAAACGTCTTAAACTTAGTTACAAGATATCATGTTTTACTTTGACCCAAAATTATGGTTCAGGATACTGATGTTATGGTTTAATGCTAAAATAATTTTTCTAAAAGCACAAGAAAGCTTACATTGGGTACATGTTTTTTTTTAAAAAATAAGATAGGACTTGTTTTATTCCTTAACACATTCTGTATACGGTTTTTTATTGTTATATCTACTAAATAACATACTTTGCTATTCATCATGATGCAAAATATTTATATTATGACCATAATAGATGAAATAGAGCGCAAGCCATTCTTGCATCACTAGTCCAAGAAAATGGGAGACATAATTACTCTATAGTTACTCTTTGTACTCTATAGTTAGATGAAATAGAGGAATGTAGTATTGAATAATTTAAATATCAATTCTTCATTTTTTAACTTCCTGGATAATGTTTCGGTTATTTTTAATTTATAATAATATAACAGTTTGATAATAATGTTTTTTGGTGTTTTATGATATAGTTCCCGTAAAACAATTACTATCTCCATCTCTATTGGACAATTAAAAATAGCTCACAGCATTAACAAATAATTTGCTAAACATAAAAAAATTTCCAACAGGTAATTGACGAACATTATTTACTTAAGCATCTCCAATTTCAATCGAATTCTTTTTTTTCCTTAAAACAATGCATTTGAATTTGACATTGAAATTATAATAAAAATAATAACTGTTTTAGAACAGTAAATATAAGAATAACTATTATACATAATAAAGAATAAAAAATTAAAACTTACATATTTTTATAGTAGTTTCTCGAAAAAAAAAAAACTAATAATAATACGACACACGAGTTCAAAACACGTATCAAGGAATTAGTTAGCGCATGTGCGTTTTTTTCTTCTAATTTTTTAATCCCCTTTGAAAGTTAGTATACATGCACAATATTTACTATTTGATTTGACAAAAAACAAGAGGAAAGAGTTGTTTTTATTTTACCATAGCATCGAGGAAACATACAAGCTTTCAAATTTATTTCATTATTCTAACGCGGAGGAAGAATTCTGAAAAAATTACCGTATTGTATAGTAATGACATTTCTGGTAAGAAAATCATAATCCTGATATTAAACACAAGTATATACGGTATTTAAACCATCCATCTGGTAATTTTTCCGTTCATATGGCAACGGTTTAGCCGAAATTCTGGTTTGCAAAAATTTATTTTTTATTGCGGCCCATTTCGTAAAATATACAAAACTGAACAGAAAATTTATTCAAATAGGTGGTTTTTATGTCATGTTCTAAGATATCATGATAAAATTACCAAATTTTTATGACACTTAAAAATTTCAGTTTAATTGTTAATTTTTCCATATCATTACCAAAACGCTGTGGCAAAAATTACTGAGCTTTTTGGTATTCAAATAGGGCCAGAAACACAATAAATTTTACGATACTCTGGTAGTTTCGGACATATTTTTTTTCCTCAGTGTATTATATTTTTCCATTGTTGAAATATATAAAAAGATTCTATTTATTTTCAATCTCAGAACAAAAAAAAGAAGAAAAAAAAAAGGTTACTATTGCAGAAACCATTTGTTCGTTGAAGCGATTAATACTTTAATCCGAATGTTATACAGCTTTAATAATTTATGGATCACTGAGTTGTTCTGCTTTATTAATATTGAAATTGAGAGCACTTAGAATTGTTTTAATGGCTTGACAGTGACCTTCATATTGTAACGTTTTTTTTGTTTCGTTATTGTTTACAAAAGAATAAAAAAGAAAACGGCGATAATCGTTGATTTCTACAGTGAAATTCTTACTAAATAATTGAAGTTTTTAAAAATAATATTTTAGGTCAAAGCAATTATTGTTTTTCTTTCAGAATCAGGTGCGGATTTATTTTTAGCAGAACTAATTAACTAATTATAATTAATAAAATGATGGATAAATTATTTATATTTCAATCAGCTTTTGGTGAAATTGTAAGCATATAAGGCATTTATGATCGCAGGAACATGTCATAAATTAAGTATTTTTGACTTGAAATGACCTAGACAAGTTCCTTAAAAATTGAAGAAGTAGCTGAAACGAGAAAATTTTCAATCTAAAATTGAATATTATTTAAGTTATAGTCTTTTTCATAGACTTTTACAAATACTTTTTGTTTTGAGTTTTTATTTTAATATGAAAATAATTTGACAAAAAGTATCTTCCTTTATCAGCACAGTTGGAGTACAAATATTCTGTTCTTAGTTTTTAATATCAGAAACTAATACCGTATAATTAAGTCATAACTATCTGTTCTCAAATATTGGAATTCAATGTCCAATTATAAATTGCAAGTTTAAAGTTATAAACAAACGTTATTTTAATTTTAAGAGTTATAACTCTCAAATTATAAATGTAAGATTAATAAGAGCTTTAAATTTATACTAATTTAAACATTAAGAGTCATGTTTAAATTATTTATATTTCTCCATTTCTTTCGCCTTGTATGATCTTTCAATTATTTCAATTAAATGAAATAATATTGCTTTCGAATTTAAATAATTTTTAAAATGTATTTATTTTTATAACTCTTCACAAGCATGATAATATATTTAAAAAAAATAAGCAGTTATAATTTATTTAATTAAAATTACAGATAAATAGTTTATAAATTAAATTAAACACAAGTAATCAAAGTTATAATTATTTTTCACAATATTTTGCTTTTTTTTTAAATGCACCTAAAAGAAATAAAATTAAAAGTTCAAATATTTTTTAAGAATCGAATCGATATTTCAGATCAATTTTGGTGATATCAGAATTTTTATCTACCTTGGATATTTTTTTAATCTAATAGGGAAATAAGGCAGTAACTAATAATTTCATGAATAAAAAATATATCACTTACTATTGTATTCCTAGATTGAGTGCACTCTTTCTAACACAATTCAACGAAACTGAGAGCATTTAGATAAAATTGTCTTTTATATGCCATAGAATAAAATGCATACGGTCCACCAATTAACCTACTTCCTAGTTCAAAAGAGAAAACTAAGGTTGCTCGACCAGAGAGCAGAGGGCGCTTCATTCGTCAATGGTGCGTTATGCTTCAGTTCCAAATATCCAAAATACCCTAATCTTTTTAGGATTTCCTTAACAATTCTTTCAAATTTTTTCTTATTCTTTTTGATTTCAAATTGAACCTTCGCCTTTGGATGTTATTCGAGCAATTTCACGCTTGTGGTTGTGAAAATTTGGGTTAGAGTGTATAATTCTAACTATGCGCTGGTTTAATATTGAAATATTTGTCTGTTTTGTAAAGATAAAAATCAAATTGAAAGACAGTGAAATGTAATAAAATTAACGAATGGAAAATAAAAGATAAATTGTTTCTTCCGGCAAGGCTATTGACGGATTCTCATTTCGACCTCGAATATCCGGAAGGTCGGTTAAACAATTAAAAGGCTGAACTTTATTAATTTAGCATAATGTAAAATTTGTAACCACAATAAGTGTGAAGGATAGGAATAAACGAATGCTTTTGAGAATCTTTTTATGCAATGTCATGAATTGGTAAACCACAATATAGATTTGGATGCTTTTAGTTTCTTTTTGTTTGTTTTACCTTGATGCTTTTATTCTAATAAAATAATAATTAATTTTTTTTATCAAATATACCGTTACCCTTTTCCCACATCACCTTGAAAGAAAGTTAATTGCCCAATACTCAGTGGGTAATGGGTAAAGTTAATGGGTAAATACAATTGTTGAAGGGTCAGTAAATTTGGTAGATATGCCATACGTTAGAATTTGCATTTTTTTGACCCGGGCGTTAACCTCTTACGGATAAACATTCGAAGACTGTTATTACAATAAAATCTTATTCAGGAGTGCTAAATGTAATAGGCAAGATGAAAACTAAATTTTCAGTACAGCGTCATTATTAATTCATTAATTGGTTTTTTAAAATGTATAGAATATCTTTTAAAAGCTATTAAACCGATTTCTTTTATAAAAATTGAATTTTGTGCATTTAAAATTATGTATGCGTAATTTAGTAATTTATATAAATTTTTAATATGTAAGAATTTTTATAAGGCTCACATTAAACATTGAATATTTCGTGAATATTCACATTAAACATTGAATATGAATCAATTAAGTACGTACTTGCAGCAAAATGCTAAATGCAAATGCAAGTTTTCACTGAAATCTTACAAATTTGGTGATTGAAAAAAATTGAAATGAAATCAAACAGTTATTAAAAGATCATGTCCTAAAATGTAATTACATTCTGAAACTAGTTAAAAAAATATTTTGTATTCTTATTGTAAGATATAATTACTATGAATAAGATTATTTTGTAAGATAATTGTTATGACTAAGATTACGTTATTTCAATAACAAATAATTTTGTGTAAAAATCAATTGACATAAACAAGAATATTTTCGTTATTCAAGCTGTAAAAAGAGTTTGAAATATGATGATTAGGTATTGATATAATGATGTTATTGATTAGGTTATTTATTGATATGGTTAGATTATTTATTGAAATGATTGATTAGTTATTGATATGATATGTTATTGATAGAAATATTATAATTAGTTGATTTAAGGGCGAAATTGTTTGTTTAAGTTGTGATTTTTTTTCAGCTAATTTACATGAATACAATTTATTATTTAACCATTTTTTATTTTTAAGACTTTTCACGCTACTTTTTATAATTAAAGTGTGTAATATAAATAACCGTTGCTTTTTTTTTACCAGAAATACATTATTTTATAATTCAAAACTTTTTTAATTTAACCAACAATTTGTTTGGAACTTACTAAGTGTTACACTATATAAAATTACGGATCTAATTGTGGTGCAAAATACTGGCACTCTGAGTGCAGCATCCGTAAAATCTATTTTACTGTATAACTTTTTACAGTAATATTTATTTCATTACATTGATTTTGAGAGATTTTACTGTAAATATATTACTGGAAAAATTACGGTATATGAGATTTGTGTTCTTTAACATTTTACAGTAAAAATGGTCTTTACGGTAAAAGGTATTGGCACCCTGACTGCCGGTACATTTTACCGCAATTCGATCTAGAATTTTTTTTCAGTTAAATTTTTGTCAGAAATATTATAATTAAAGCTAGTAATTTTCACTGTAATAGGATGAAAATTCTAGTGGTAGCTCACTAATGTTTCAAATTAACTGGAACTTTGCAACTATTTAGGTTTTATGAAAAAATCTGAAATTCCTGATTAAAGGTTAATATTTAGAACTTTATATTTCTAAAATATCATGGTGGTTAGATAGGGGAGTGTCGGGCACCTCCGCCCAGCAGGTACCCTCACCCACTGTCAATTTCATATGTATAGAATATTTTTTAAGTCAATGGGCTATCGGACATTAATTGTTATAGTAAAAAAAGATTATTTTCAAAGTTTCAAGTATTTATGTTTCAAGTATTAAACAATAGTTTTGAAAATATGTTGAATACAGTAGTCATGAAATTAAGAAAAATTGGTTGAATGTTTCGATTAAATGTTTTCATTCAGTTTATCTATTGTCAATACATTGGTCATTTTCATTTACACCTGAAAAAACAGTAAAAAACATAGTTTTTGTAACTGGGCGGAGCTACCCGACACATTTTGAAAAGATCTGAAAAAGATGTTTTTCTAAATTTCTATTTTTTTAAGTTAAACTATTCTTTTTTGGGGTTTTTTCTTTTTGCATTATTTAATTAGATGATAAAACAATAGAAACATACAAAAATATTGATTATTACTCAATATTATATAGAAATGTAAGCAATACTCCTTAAGTGGGTGGGGCTACCCGACTCTCTCCTACGTTTTGTATTGTCAAGATAAAATTAATAATGAATAAAATTTTGTTTCCATTCTCGATGTTTTTTTGATTAAAAAATAGCCAAGTTTACTTGCCAAGCGTGGTAATCGGTTAAGCGCAGTAGCAAAAAGTGGCATTTTAAATTCTTTGAAACTATTTCCTCAAGAAGGTGAAATAATATACATATAAATATTAAAACTTTTGCAATGTGCTTTAATGTGTTAAATATTGCATATATTATGATAGATTGCATAGTTTATAAATACCTGAAGTTTAAATAACGTAACGATATTTTTAAATGATACATAAGGAAGGAAATTAAAATTCCTTTTCTTGCAAGCAGTCCAGCCCAACAATGCTATCTGACGAAATCGAATGAATAATCGGGGAAGTAGCAATATGTCATCAATTATCCAATCTCTTACCTCAAGATAGAAAGTGAAGATAATTTCTAGTAATATCTTTAATGAAATGCCTTTTATCATTGTTTTTATCACGCAAACAACAGAAAATATTGTTCTTCGTTTGTAATAAGTAGGTGTTGATAAATGGTGCAAACTGTTCAGTCGTTTTTCCTCAATTCTTCTTGGGTTTGGTTTCAGTTTTGGATTGAGTTACAACTTTCGAGAAGGAAGCTGAATTGAGGATAAAAAGAAATTGCTTTTTTATTTTTAAATAAGTACAATCTTAACTAAGTAGATGGGTGGTATAATTTTTAAAATTTATTTTGCAGTTATTATCGCTGTTCTATAGAACTTCGCCTTTTATACTTTTTCCACACCTTATTCAAGCGATGTGAAATAATACAATATGGTTTTAAATTACATTAATTTATTAAATATTTAGGTTAGTTCAAGGGAAATAGACGTTTTGAGAAGTAATTATTTTACCTTCAGAAAACGTTTTTTTTTTCACTTGTAAATTTATTAATCTTTTTAAAACAGTATTTATAAATAGTAAATCTAGCAGTGTTTAGCAGTATATTGTAATATTAATAGGTGACCAGAGGTGACCCAGGTTCGAATCCCAGCTATGGTTGGTCGATACAAATTCTACTCCCTGATCGCACTGACCACAGTGCTATGATAAAATATCTTCAGTGGTAGATGGATCATGGGTTAGAATCTTCTTGCCGTAGGGTTAACCATGGAAGGGTTGGGTGGTTTTTCTTTTCATGTAACGCAAATGTGGGTTAGTTAAGTCATCCACAAAGGCTCGTTTGACCTAATGGTTGATCCAAAAGTTCCCTTGTCTTCAGGATTGGGTTCAAAATTACAGGGCTATGGAGTTGAACGTTAAGTCGTAAACGCAGAATTGGGCCGGTTGTTCAACGCCGTTTATAAAATGAAATAAAATAGTTTTCAACACACTTTAAATTTCAATTAATTTCACACAATCTTTAATAGTACTAAGCTTCTTTATTACAGTCTTGTGCATCATTTTACTATTTTTTATAAGGAAAATTTGCTGAACGACAAATAAAATGTTTTCGTGTTGATTATTTTATAAATTCCTTTTTCGCTTTTCATCTTGATGAACCAGATTCATTCTGCGCATTCTATACCCTCTGCTCGTCTGATACTTCATCCTGCTTTGGTCAGTGCTTCGACAAAACATTTTTTTGTAATGTTCTACTATGATTCAATTAGCGCCATCAAAATAACAGTTTGAGTTATCCCCGTTTTTGTTCCTTATTTATCGTGTAATGAGGAGATGAGTCAATTCTGATTCTAAAGTTCTTGACAAAAACATATTTGTGCTAGTTTTTGATTCGAAAACTCATGCTTTGGTACTGAAACCAGAAAACTGCAAAACTCCATTATGGTAAGTTCTTGAAGGCAAGAAATACACTAAATGAGAAGACGATGAATGGATACAATTAAGTTAGATGCTGCTTTAGAATTTAAAATATAAACTCTATATCATAACTATTTAAATACTTGTTTCCTGACTATTTTTTTTTTGTAACCGGTCTTTTCTTTTCAAAGCAAATACTTGTTGAAAAATTGAAGATAAGCCCTTGTCTGTAGCCGTCCGCAATCATCGAGATTAATTGCACGTTCAAGAAGTCTCTTGATATCCATCCATTGAATTGTCATGAAGTACTTCCCTGCTGCACCCTCTACAAAAATCGTGAGACCATTAATCAGAAAGCAAGACGAATGTCTTCATTCTAAATATGTCATTCGTCTTGCA